TGAACAGATGTTGAAGCTAAAATCAGTGAAACAGCAGCTAAAAGTATTAAAACTAAAACACGTGCAGAAGATGAAGATTTTACGTCTAAAGGAGAAATGTTTGTGAATAAAGTTGTTTTAAACTTGAGCTGAAAGTTTTGATGAAATCCAGCAGAATCCTGTGATTCAAACAGGTTCTGGTCCAACTGGTCTCAGACTGGATCTGAGGGACCTGGAGCCCTGAGTGAAGAACTGAACCTGAAAACACCTGTTCAGGTGTTTCTGATTAGAAATAAGACCTCCTGCAGTGTGTGTGTGTGTGTGTGTGTGTGTGTGTGTGTGTGTGTGTGTGTGTGTGTGTGGACCCACCAGGATGGTCCTCTGCAGGTTGGAGTTGACGCTGCTGAACATCAGCTTCCCTACGATGGTGGCGATGGTGGGAAACACCAGAGCTCCACACAGGATGCGTGTGGCCGACACGTGGTCTGCCAGGGGGCTGGCCTCCGCGGGGATCCTGGGAACTGGGCAGCCAATCCCTGCGATGAGGTCAGAGGTCAGCGGGGGGGACCTGGTCTGGGTCTGGGTCTAGTTTCTGAGTGAGAAGCGAACCTGGGAAGATGCTGTTGAGGATCTGCAGCTTGTTGGAGTACTTCCTCCACAGACGCAGCACGTAGTCCTCCCAGCGGATCATCTTCCCCAGGATCAGCATGACGGGGATGGTGGGCAGCCCGATGAGCAGGAACAGGGGGTCGGCCCGCTCCATCACRTCCAGACCCTCCTTATGGCCCACCACCTGAACGGATCCGAGTCAGAACCAAAAACTGAACTCACAGGAAGAAGAAAGCAAACATGGAGGCCTACCTGCATCACGGTGACGGCTCCGTAGGTCACAGCCGTCCAGTAAATAGACCCCACCATGATCCCTGCTGCAGCGAACGGACCGGCCTTCGAGATGAGCCGGTCTGCCAAGTCCAGAACATAAACCACCGGACCTGCAGTCAGGATTCAGCAGTTAATCTAAACTCCAGCTAACAGGAAGCTGATGTTGAACCATGAGTACAACCAGAACTGAACCGACCACTCCATGACCCCCTTTAGACTCATCCAGACCTTTTACCAGGTCCAGAGTCRGGAGGAGTCACCCTACATGCGACACAGAGGAGGGAGCGTGTGCTGATAAATCCAGTGATGAATGCTGAAGTCAGAGCAGAAAGTGATGAATTCTGTGAAAGATGAACTCCAAACAGCTGAAAACMTTCATATAAAACCTTTAATATCTGTTTAAACTGTATCAYTGTCGTCTTTTTGAAACGTCTGATTTCAAAATAAAACCCACGTGTATCGTGTGTACACATCTGCTTCCCAAACAGAACCATACATTCTGACAGCATTTGTACAAATATATCCAGATATTTATTAATTTAGCTGGGATTTAGACATTATCCTGCCTTATGGTGCCTTAGAGTGGAGGATGAAATAAAGTGGCTGWACTTTACYRAGAGCAASTAACATGGAAGCTCTGTGTCCGGGTCTCTGCCCTGTTCCGTGGGAGTTCCACAGGGTAGCATACTGGGCCCATTGCTTTTCCTATTATACATAAATGACCTTCCAAAAATATTGAAGTATTCAAATATTTTAATGTATGCTGATTAGGCCTGTCACGATAACAAATTTTGCTGGGCGATTAATTGTCTCAAAATTTATTGCGATAAACGATAATAT